CACTCTTCTTGGAAAATCAGTCTCTTTTAAATGTTGTACTGTAGATAATGCGTATGGATGAAACTTATGTTTCCATAAAATTCTTAGAACTGATGTTTTAGATAATCCTGATTCTAATGCTACTTGCCTTGTAGATATTGTTGGATTTACGGCAAAATATCCCAAAATTGCGATTTCAATATTTTCATTGTTAACAACTGGTTTATTTCTATGTACTTTAGCTTTGACGGATCCAAAGTTCTTGAAGTTTTCTAAAATTCTTTTAACAGTTTTTTCACTTGGTTTCTGTTTCTGCGGATATCGGTTCGCAAATGTATCACATGTTCTTGAAATAACTTTATTACATTCTCCATAAATAATAAATAAATTTAAATAATCTTTTTTTACTACTAACCTGAGAAATAGACATTATTCAATCTATTTTTCTAAGAAAAAATTGAATTTCTCTCCCTAGGTTAATAATGAAAATAATGAAAAAATACCTAGGTCAATAATGAAAATGACGTCATGACGCAAGGATATTGTCATGTTTCTATTGGTTCAATTTCAATTTCATACGTCAATTTGAAAAAAAATACAGGTTTCTGTAGGTACATAGGAAGTTATATAAGCTGTTGATAGAGGGCAGCACTTTCAAGAGGGCGTTCACAAAAAATAATTAGAACACAGATTTTAAACAAATTTTTTATTTCCTACTAGCAGTAGTAAAAAAAATTCTATATATTCCTCGGTAGAGAAAGTCATTATATACCTCAAGCATTATAAACCTCGGCGCTGCGCGCCTCGGTTCATAAAAGCTTTCGGTATATAATGACCAACTTCTCTACCTAGGTATATAATATACTATTTTGTATAATTTAATCTTCCCGGCATGATTATTATCGAAAATTATTTCAATTTTTGTGACAAGGACATGCACGTTCTGCTTGACATTCTGTCATGCGCAAGGGTGCGTTCAGTTATTATTTTTAGAGCAAAATCGCCATATAAAAATATTAAATTGGCAATATTTCGAAAACTAAACATTTTCGGAATAGATAACCTTATATAAACTTACCTTTATTTTTAATGCTTAACAAGATAAAATTATAAAATTTTGGGTTTTCCATTTGAAAAAATTGATTTTTGGAAGTTTTCTCAACTTTATTTTTAATCTTATTTTTTAAGCACCCTGTATTAAAAGTTATCAAAACATAATGAAAATCTAATAAAATAGGTCCTTTTCAACAAGGAATCAAGGTTCAATCAAAGAATAAAGGCTTCCTTATAGGAAAAATTGACAATTATTTTAAGGTCTGCAAACGTAATTTTTTACCTAAAAACTTAAATATGTCAAAAACGGTTAGACTTAGGTATAGGACATCGTACATGAAATGTATTTAGAATTTTCCTTAGAATCCAAAAATACATTAATATACGGGGTTTTCTATTTAAAATAACCGAGATGGTATCAACTTCCGGTATGACCGGAAATGCCGCCATCTTGAAAATATTTTACCTGGATGTCCCCCATCGACATTGCTATGTTGCCAAAGACCATATATGGGTATGCATTATTTTTCCTCACTTACAAAAATCTAAGGAAACGTTTTTGTACTTAATGTACTTTTTCAATATGATCTATCTATATGAACCGATGCTGTAGGTAACCATATATTTGATGCATATTCCAAATGTGGCCTCACATAAAGTATTATGACAATGGTTGAAATCTGAATATTCTTGCTATTGTGTATCACAAAGCCAAGAGCCCTATAGGCGTTGGCAGCAATGGTATAATAATGACTATTAAATTTTAGGCTCTGATGAAATGTAACTTCCAAGTCTATAATCTCTGATTTTCTGCTTAAAGCGATCCCATTTACGAAATAATCATCTCTAATGTAATCAATTTTTCTTGTATAAGTGACCACCGCACACTTGCTGATGTTAAGGCTCATTTTGTTTACCCCAAGCCAATCTACAACAGAGTCAAGATCAGATTGCAACTCAATACAATCTGTTCCATCATCTATCGTTCTAAACAATTTAAAATCGTCCGCATAGAGTAGGCCAATGGACGACCCCACACTGTTCGGCAGGTCAATAATAAAAATCGCGAAAAGTAGTGGCCCCAAGTTACTGCCTTGGGGGACAACCGAAGTGGCCATAAATGATTCGGTTTTGGGCTTTCCTTCTTTAATAACCTGAGGCCTCTCAAGCAAGTAAGATTTCATAAAAGCAACAGCGCTTTGGGAGAAGCCCAAGTCCATCTTACTTAGCAGTACGCAATGATCCACTTTATCAAACGCCCTTGCGCAGTCAGTGTATATTACATCCAGTTGTTTCTTTTGATTAAGAGCTTCAAAGGCATGTTCGGCAAATACACAAAGATTAGTGACTGTAGATCTTCCAGACATGAAGCCGTGCTGATATTTAGATAATCTGTCACTGACAAATTCGTAAATTTTATCATAAAGAACACTCTCAAATATATTAGCAATGCAATTGATATTGAAATTGGGCGATAATTTTTTTTATCTTAGCTTTGCTACCACTTTTGTACGTGGGGGTAATTAGTCCAATTTTCAAAATATCTGGAAAGGTGTTTTGCTCGATAGCCAAGTTGAAAATAAACGCTAGCGGCCTTACTAGCAAGTCCTGGTAACCCTTATAAATATAAGAGGGTATACCATCTGCTCCAGTTGATTTTTTTGGTTTTACTTTTTTTATACTTGGTAAAATGTTAGCTTCTGTTATTTCTAAAAAATTAAAAACACCATTCTGTTTTTCCAGTTCGTTGTTCTGAGATATATTATACACTGATGTAAAATGCTGCGCAAAGGCATCCGCTATACTCTTCAGATTACTGAACCCCCCCGTTTGTCATTTTAACCGGTACCCCCCCCCCCCCCCCCACCAGTACTCGATTTACTGTGAATATAAGACCAAAAAGAGCTGGGATCCGTCTGTATACATTGCTCAGCCAGATCTTAGATGTTCCAAATACCTACTCAGTTTTTGTTTGAGACTTAACTGTCTGCCTCAGCACCATGTATCTGTCCTGTTCTGCTCTGTTGGCTTTTCCCCTATTAATTTTGCCATGTAACCTATTCTTTAATCTGTTTTTACGTACCAGTTCAATAGAGAACCACGTGGGATATTTAGTAACGCCCCTGGAATCCCTGGTTTGATACTTAGGTACTGAGGCATCTAATAGCCTATAAATAATCTTATAAAATACTCCACAGCTCGTTCAGAGTCCTGAGTAACTCTGACCAATCACAGCTGCAGAGCAACGGATACAAAAGAATATAATTTCCCTTTGAAAAATGATACACATATTTCTTGGGCCAATGCTCTTCAGCCTGAGCTTTCTCAAATGATATTATGTTTACCGAAAGAGCTGGGTGGTACGGTTCTTCTATGACAAGGGGACTGCCAGATCCACCGACACTTAAAGGCACACTACTAGAATTAGAGATGATTAGATCCAACATTCTGTTCAGACAATTACTTATGGTGTTATCCTGCACAAGATCATACATACATAGGAAGTGCTGTGTAACAAGATTTCTCTCACAGTTATCAACAAATAAATTTGGCAAATTAAAATCACCCAATATCAATACTTTTGATGTAACCCCACAAAAAAAAAGTCTATAGTGGCATTAGATTACAAGATCTAGGTGGCTAATTAACATCCCCATTTTTTGAAAAAAGTAAACCTTCAAACCGTGTTTGCAATAAGTCAATGGTTTCTTTTGCTGTGTGACATGTTGCGCCGTCTTGTTGGGAAAGTAAAGCGTATATGTGAACAATCCCCAAGCAATTCAAAAGTTGGAAGATCAGATTCGGCGCATTATTCGTGAATCACGAGATATCACCGGAAATGTGCTAAAATGTGATCGAAAACTTTGGCTAAGGAATTGTGTGCTGTGAGAGAAGTCGCGGTGGTCATTTGTCGGATATTGGGTTTCACGTATAATTGTTAACGGTCATGTTACTTATTGCTATAAAGTAATAAATGTTTCCTAGTTCGCTTTTCGTTAGAATTGAAATAAATATCCGGAAACTCTCATTGGAACACCCTATATATTCAAAACTAATTCTAATAAAAAATCTCTACTATAAAAAAAGTGAAAAACATTATACTTCAAGGTTAACCATTCACCCAAAAGAAAATTAATTTTTCACGTTTTCTGAAAGACACGAGCTTTTTGATAAATTTACTCAATATGTAATTATTTTAGTCTTTATGGAAAAGTCTTTCTAGTTAGGATGCAGAGTGCACTACATATAATTCCCTTCAAATACTTCCTCTCTAGCAAAATGTACGTGTCTTTATGTAATGTACTAAATTAGTATCAATTATTATTGCAATCCTCGGAAATTCCGTAACCCTTCTTATTACCAAATAACATATCTATATACATATTTTTGATCTACTTTTACAACATTGAAATTGAAAAGTAAGTATACGTACTACTTGCAGGATAGGCTGGTATATACACTTTCACTGTTTTTAGCCTAGTCGAATACCACCGCCATGGTAAATGAACAAAAAGAATCAGTCAAGATCAAATAATAATTTGTGCTTAGGTAGATTTCTTCGAGTTTGCAATTTAATTATCGCGCTTAAACCAGATTTTGATTACAAATAAGAAAATCCTTAATTATGTGGGGGATTTCCATTGATTAAAATACTTTTGTGGTTGTTTGTTATTCTTCAGTTTTGTTTTCGATTGGAAGCTGTTATGTGTAGTGAAAACGTGATAAATCTGTTTCTATGTATTTTTTGAGATTGAGGTCATTTTTTTTTTTAAATAGAAGAGTGTATTCACAATTCCACAGGCACTAAAAAGAAGTAACTGTGTACTTTAACAATTAAAATTTATTTCATACTACATATTCAGATAATTTCAATATGATGGAATCAATTCTTAGTGGGTGGAGAATATAATATGTCTCAGCAAGCAAATGAAATTTACTTTATCCTATTCAGCTATGGTTCTCCTTACCACTTTACTTCATTATTTGTTGATTCAGTGAAGTTCAGAGTTCAGAAACTGATTTCGTGTTCGAACAATTGCACATTTAGACTGTATTTTAAAATTTTAATAAAATTTACAGTATTTGAGCAAATAACGTGATTTTATGTTTGTGTCAGAATTTATAACATAATAATCATTGTAAAAATGATAAGGAAGTTTATGGATGCTATAAGAAATACTGAGAGAAATTTTAAACAATAGTTTATGCACCAAAGTATCCAAAAACACTGTAATCTTATGTTTATATGCTGATTTTTTTCTAGTTTTTTCTATCATAAATTTATTAAGAGGTCCAATCATTATCCAAAGTATAATCAAGTATGTATTACATTAACTTTACCTACTTTTAATCTTTGGCATTCAATGCTAAAATTGTTTTATTAAATTTGCACATATATTACTAATTATAGAGAAATTCCAAACTCATCCCCTTTTGTCGCTTTGTCTTTGTTGACAAAAAGTTAATTCGTAGGTACTTACTTAATAGTCAATTTCTGGACTTGAAATTTGGTTCCAGAATTCAGAAATTATCGAAAAGTATTTCAGATTACAATGTAGCTATACCTATACATATATTCAAAATAATTTAAAGAAAAACACATATGTGATTGAAAAAATGACTCGTTCTTGATAAATTTATGCATTTAAATTCTAGAAATTCGTTACTTTAGTTTGGAGTGCAAAATTGGCCAGCTTTTGCACACGGCACTTTTCCAATGCTCGGGCGCCTTAAAGTAGTTCGGATCATTTGAACGCGCATTATAGAAGTGACGTTGCTTTTAAGTGAAGTGAGATAACAATACTAGTGATTCACTGGCGAATGTGTTGAAGCGAGATATAGAAACAATGTGGTCCTATCAGAAAATAAGGTAATTTTGTAACGAATATTCAATTTGTATTTTGAATTTGTTTTCATTAGAATTTTGAATCAGCGGAATAATGTATGCGGGATATTATTTATTACATCTACTTATATGTTTTTGTCAATCTGTATAGTTTCCTTCTTTTCAATTACTTAGTTTTGAATGAAAGAAATTGATTGCTCGCAAAAGGTCCTTCTTAGCTGCAACTTGTTCTCCAACAGTTAAGCTTTAAGTTAGCTCTGATTATTCAAAATACACATTTAGTTATCCTAACTATAACTCATTATAATGTATAACCAATATCGTCACAATAATTAATCCTGTGAAGTTATTTGATACGTCCCTACATAAGTATATATATCTACTTATTTTATAATGAAACGCCTAACCTTCCTTAATGCCTTACTCATAATTCATTCAAATAGATTCATCTCTATCATCGCAAAATATTCAAACTTGTTTCAATTTAAATAGCAAAATTGGTCAAGTCATTGTAGTTTGAACTGTTTGAAAACGAATTTTGTCTTTTCACACCTTCTTGATAAAACCATTACCATAAAACCAAGAAAAGATAAAAGCCGAATAAACCACAACCTATTTTGTCCAACAGTCAAGATACAGTATTCGTCGCATAGTCATTAAATTTATTTTTACCATAACGCAATCGAGAGTTACTGTAAACTTTTATAGAATGTTAATTGCCTTGTGATTTTCGCTTTCCGTTAATAACTACAGCAGCAGAACATAAACTGGTAATAATAAGAAAATTTCAAATTGCCGTTCGGAGAAAGTTAGTCGATTGTCGATTATGTTTGTAATAAAAATATTTTGATTTAAATTTCTGATAAATAAAATACTGAGTGGCTAAAATAAAACACACTGGAATCATTCATAATGCACTTTACATAGGTCATAGTCGAGGGGTGTGATACTTCCTAGTATTTTGTACATCTGATTTTCATTACTTTAATGGAAATCAATGAAATCAGAAATTAGATTTGGTAAAATTTTATGATTTCACTTGATTTCAACGATTTCTTCAGATAATATTTGATTTTACTTGATTTTGCTGATTTCACTTGATTTTGTAAATTTCATTAATATCCCTGATTTACATTGATTTCGCAAGAGTAAATGTGATTTTACCAGATTCACACAGATTTCATGATTTCAGTATCCATGTACCAGAGGTCGAGATCTAAATTATTGACAACAGCAACCAATGTATAAGGTGTCCCATTTTGGTTGTACATAAGGTATATCTCAGTTGTTGTTGAAGTTAGAAGAATGCAGTTTTCGCGAACGTTGGCTACTTTTCTGTCAAGTAAAAGATACCGTCAACAAAATTGTCATTGCCCTTTTCGTTTTCCAGATACAAATTTGAAAATTTTCCTTTTTGGACATCCCTTGTATCTCGGTTCTCACATAAGTTATGGAGAAGGTGACAACGGGTTCTTATAGATTCCAGTGGCAAAGTCAGTTTTTCTCTAGAAATGATAGTTTTTAAATTATGAACCAACCATACGTTTTTTCGAATGAAACACCCTGTATATTAATAACTCATTGGGTACATTCAGGCGGTACCAGCGGCTAAGTTCAGCAGGGACTTTATTCTTGAAACAGGGAAGCAGCGTTCTCATGAAAACAGAGGTTCTGCCTTCGTCGTCCGTATTCATATTTCCATAACACTGACTAGAACGCTGTTCCTATTCTATAGCTATTCTTCGGGTTCGGGAATAAAATTCCTGCTAAGTGGCTGACCTTAGCCGCTGGCACCGCCTGAATGTACCCAGTGGAACGCTCTGCTTTTGTTGGTTTCAATGTCAAAAAAATTTATAGGTTGTTGCATATTACCTATGTCTGTTTTGTCATAAGAAACAATTTTTCAAAAAAGGACATTGCATCTGTAAGGAAAATGAGGAAGGTCTCTTTCTAACACATTGTTTCTTATGACAAAAACAGATTTTTTTTTCCTGGAAAACTTTTAGGGACTCGTTTAGAGATAAACATATCGAATTTTATATCATTGAAATCAGCAAAAGCAGAGCTATCCAATGAGTTTATAATATATAGGGTGTATCATTTGAAAAACGTATGTTTGGACTGTTTGGTTCATAATTTAAATACTATCACTTCTTTGCATTCAAAAGATCTTCGGATGGAAAATGCAGCCCTGATGCAATTCCGACGCATTGCTATGACAAAAGTGGCAGACTCTCAGACAAAAGTTTAGTAACAATATGGCGGAAGTGGATACACACAGCTTTCATCGACATAGAGGGTGCCTTTGACAACACCTCACATCAATCAATCGCCAGAGCATTACAAGAATGAGATGTTGAAGTTCCAATTGTAAAATGGATAGAGTCGATGCTGAAACACCGTCACGTTACGACTGAAATAAACGGAGCATCAGCTACCGCTACCACGGTTAGAGGGTGTTCTTTCTCCGCTACTATGGACACTGGTGGAAGACAAAATTCTTACCAGACTAAGTAGTGCTGGATCCCAGGTCATAGGCTACGCAGATGACATAGCCATTGTAATCAAGGGCAAACATCAAGGCGTAGTGACAAGCCGAATGCAAAGTGCCCCAAACATCGTTAAAAATTGGAGCGAAGGCGAAGGATTATCCCTAAACGCAAACAAAACAATCCTTGTCCCGTTCACAAGAAGAAGGAGGCTAAATTTGAAAGCCTTGACCCTTAACGGTACACAACTAAGATTTTCCAACGAAGTGAAGTACTTAGGGGTCACCCTGGACCGAACCCTCACTTGGAACAAACGGTTATAGACCCTGAGATAGGGCCTGTTTAGTGGAGTCATTTTTTTTTGTCTGGCATTTTGAGGGATGAATGTGGCTGGTTAGCTGATGAGAATATAGGTGGTTTTAATGCCTGCCACCTGTTCGAAATGTTCACAGAATGTTTCGCCGGAAAGTCGGTTTTTTTTTTAAAGATAATTCCCCAAGTCAAAAATTTAGTAATTTTGTTTGCAACACAAGCCTTTTCTACATAAAAATTTGAAAGCATTGACAATTTTACATTGTATTGCCAACATAATGTAATTTTGACTTTTATCTTTAAAAAAAAACAGATTTTAGGAATAACGGGAGCAATGTCAACTTGCCCCACCGCAGCCTTAGAGACGCTACTCAACATGCCCCCACTTCATCTATGTGTGAAAAAGGAGGCAATAACCAGCGCTCACAGGCTATTCCAAATAGACAAGTTTAAGTCTGGCGATCTGAGGCGACATCTGCGAATCCTTGATTTAATAAAACTGGAGAATGCCAGCAAACCAAGCGACCACATGATGGTCAGATTGGACTTAGAGATCCCATTCGCAGTGGTAATAAACGACCGCCAATCATGGGAGAATAAAGAATTGCCACAAGCAGACAATGCATCTCTGTCGTACACAGATGGATCCAAGCTAATGGAAGGAGCTGGACTGGGCATCTCCGGCCCTAACTTCAAGCTCTCCAAGGCATTGTGTAAGCATCTTACAATATTTCAAGCCGAACTGCTTGCCATAGATATATGTGCACAAGAGTGTCTTAGCGAAAGCCTCAAAAGAAAACACATCTTCATACTATCGAACAGCCAAGCTGCCTTAAAAGCCTTAAGGGCTTTCAAATGCATGTCAAAACTAGTCTGGGAGTGTAAACAGACCCTAAAAATACTAGCGACACACAACCAGGTAACGCTGATGTGGCTGCCTGGTGTGGCCTGGTCATCGAGGCATAGAAGGTAATGAAGAAGCAGATAGCCTCGCAAAGGAAGGGGCCTCAACACCATACCATAGACTTAAAAAAGATAGGCTTAATGAAAAGCCACATCATGGAAGAACTCAATAAATGGGAGAAAGACCAACTGTCATCATACTGGAGGCACACACCGAGACTCAGACAGTCTAAAAGGTTTATTACCCTTTCAGCAAAAAGAGCTGAACAGCTCCTAAATATGAGCAGACCAGACATCAGATTGGTGGTGGGACTGCTCACAGCACACTGCCCCGTAAAATACCATTTAAGATTGATGCGCAGAGCGGAAGACGATCTCTGCAGATTCTGCTCAGACGCAATAGAGACCGCAGAGCACCTGCTCTGCGAATGTCCAGCCCAATTCTGCAAGAGGCTCAAATTCCTCGAGGGGACAACACTGTCACTAGAAGAATTGGGCCAACTAAAAACCAGGAAAATAGCTTCCTTTAGCAGAAGTCTACGCTTCCTGGAGACAATTTGAGATGTAGAGTCATGTACAAAATATCTGCAAAGGTAGCAGTGCTGAGCGGCTGAAAAGCCGAAACGACTCCCCCGCAATCAAAAAAAAATCTACAAGTGGATACACTTTTTTCTTTTCTCTCCATTTCGCCTTCTTAATATTCTACCTCAATGCCCGAAATGCAACATTTTCAAAAACACCATGTATCTGAAAAACAAAGAGGGCGAAAACAATTCTGTTAGCGCCATCTTTCGTTTGACAAAAAAGTAGCCAGCGTTCGCGAAAACCGCATCCTTCTAACTCCAATAGCAAAGGAGTTATCCTCTTCCTTTTCACTTGATCTATTAGATTTGGAAAGTACTCACAGGATATTTCATACACAGCTCTGCGGAAAAACAACTATAGGTACCTCACTTTCCATCTTTGCAGTGGGCATAAAGAATTTATTTGATATTGAAGAGATTTTCACAGAAATCACAAACCAGCCAGAGCGTTTTTGATTGGTGCAAATCGCTAACAACCAGTTTTCTGACTACATATTGTCAACTACTTAAGTAAATACCACTATGTACATCAATTTTACTAGTGTGTCGACGAGTCAGCATTTATTTGGTATAAATACAGAGCCGAAATCCATTACCGGCAGACTAAAGCTAGTGCGGACTACCTCTAATGGGAAAAGCTCCTCTAGCTAAGTCTCCTCCCAGTGCAAACTACCTTTAATGGGAAACGCCCCTCTGGGAGTATTGAACGCCGCAGACTAGGTCCAGTGCAAACTACCTTCAATGGGAAACGCCCTTCTGGACCTGTCTCAAACCTAGTTTCAGTCTTCAGTCACGCCAAGTGTACAGAGGGTACATAATTAATACAGAGTAGCCCATAAGTAGTACGTCCCTCCGTAGAAGAGACGTCATGATACCATTTCTAGGGTTATACAACTCACTGTACATTATTGCCATATGACACGAGAGGCTTAATAAGTGATAAGCCTTTTGGGATTATCGCGCTTGG